TCCTGCCTGACTTTTAAGGAAAGCTAAGGTCACTCATGAGGCCTCACTGGCTCTGTCTGCTCTGAGATTTTTCTTTCCCAGCTCCATCTCAATCTAATGGTTGAATAAATAGACAAGGAAAGTGAACATTGTGGTCTGTAGGTCAGGCCAAGCTTTATACATTGCTCTAATTGTAGACACTACACACTTTCAAGGAAACAGGGGGAAGGGAGGCTTGCAGTGGAAGCTGTCTCCTCTAGAAGGCTGTCCTGTGGGAGGAAGACTAGATGTCTTCTTCGGTCCCTGGGAATACAACCAGAACCAGGGAGGTAGGTGAAGGAACAATGATTTGAAAATTAGACTGGTCAGAGTACAAGTTATACATAGCCACTGACTAGCTATGACCTCAGAGCACCTTAGCTAAATAGGCTTCCAGTTCCCTGGTGAAGTCTGAGGAATTGCAGTTAATAAATCATTTGTGTGTTGTCATCTCTTCCCCAGCCCAGGGTTTTCTTGGCCTGTAAGCGACAATGCCAGTCTTTGTTACTTAGTCGTGCCAACATTGCTGGAGTTTCTCTTCTTAGGTCAACCGCAGCACCGGGGGGTGCTTCCTCCTGCTGGGTTTCTCCGACCGGCCCTCCCTTCAGCCGATCCTCTTCCTGCTCGTTCTCCTCTGCTACCTCCTGACGCTCGCTGGCAACTCGGCGCTGGTGCTGCTGGCGGTGCGCGACCCGCGCCTGCACTCGCCCATGTACTACTTCCTGTGCCACCTGGCCGTGGTGGACGCCGGCTTCACCACCAGCGTGGCGCCGCCCTTGCTGGCCGGGCTGCACGGCGCGGCGCTCCGGCTGCCCCGTGGCGGCTGCCTGGCACAGCTGCTCGCGTCGCTGGCGCTGGGCTCGGCCGAGTGCGTGCTGCTGGCGGCTATGGCGCTGGACCGCGCGGCCGCCGTGTGCCGCCCGCTGCGCTACTCCCGGCTCTGCTCGCCGCGCCTCTGCCGCGCGCTGGCCGCCGCCTCCTGGCTTGGAGGCCTCGCCAACTCCGCCGCGCAGACTGCGCTCCTCGCTGCGCGGCCCCTGTGCGCGCCCCTGCGGCTGGACCACTTCATCTGCGAGCTGCCGGCGCTGCTCCAGCTGACGTGCGCCGGCGTCCGCGGCGCTCACTCGGTCGAGTCCCAGATGCTCGCCGCCCGCGTGATCGTCCTGCTGCTGCCGTCCGCAGTCATCCTGGCCTCGTACGGCGCGGTGGGCCGGGTAGTGTGGAACATGCGGTCCCGCGAGGGCCGGAGGAAAGCGGTGGGCACGTGTGGCTCCCACCTAACAGCAGTCTGCTTGTTCTACGGTTCTGCCAGCTACACCTACCTGCAGCCCACGCACAGCTACAACCAGGGCCGAGGCAAGTTCGTCTCTCTCTTCTACACCGTGCTCACACCAGCCCTCAACCCGCTCATCTATACTCTAAGGAATAAAGAAGTGAAGGGAGCAGCGAGGAGGCTTCAGAAAAGTCTGGGAAGGAGGCAGGACAGGCAGTGAGTGGGCCCAAGTGATGGAAATACCGTCAGTCAATTTTTAAATATGCAAGATTTGTTCCAGGGAGTCTAGAGTTAATGGGAAGATCCTCTCATCAGATGCCTGAGAGGGAAGTCCCTG